TTTAATAAAAGATGCATTCGATGAATTCGCGTTTCCGTCTTTCCAGCGCGAAGGTAAATTTCTATGATTACGTAGATAAAAGAGCTAATGAATACGGCCTTATCGGAGGTAAATATACTAACAATTCTTCATAACGAGACAATTAGAGGTATTATATCGCTAGACGGCTGTGTGCAAGTTTCGTCACATCATAATTCTGACCGCGCCACGCTTTCGTGTAAGCGCGACGTGCATAATTCCACGATAGCTCGTGCTCGTTCAACTATAATATTTCACAGTAGCGAATTGAAGTATGCGCGAGATCATTGTGTGTGTGTGTGTGTGTGTGTGTGTATACGTGAGTGATAATGGTATCGTTATTCTAATTTGAAAATAATTTCGTATTATTTTCTTATAAAATGTCGTCATGGGAGATGTATTCGCGCGAAGACAGTTGATCATCGATGTAACTCTGTCACGGTGTTTCGATCATGGCTGAGTCTCTTGATAGGAGAAACAGGTGTATATTTTTAAAGGGATGCCATGCCTTGGAAACTTTACTAACGAAATACTGACTCTTTTCTGCAAAGTTTACGTCATATTGGTTGCACAGAATTACAAATGCTTTCACACACTGAAAATACATACAAAAATGAATTGGAACATTATTCAATATGTGACGACAACGATAAAAGAATTGTTGATATCTCGAGCTATCAATTGATGTAAATATTTAATTGATATAAAAGTTTTGGAGCTCGCACGTGTATTTGTACTGCTAATGAAAAAAAATGTCAAGAAACATCTCTGTACGTCAATTGAATTTAGAAACTTAAAATTATTTGCAGAAACATTCCTGTATGTGTGTGTGGTTACGTTTTCCGTTAGTATGGTAACAAAACAGCATACATTGTTTTCAAAAGGACAGTATAATCGTGGTGGTAATGATCGCTTTTTAATTATCGACATTTTTGGATTTTCTTATCCATTTAAGTATCTCTAATGCGTAATATCGTAACAACTTTTTTAGTCGATTTGTAAAAATTGCTTTCCTTATGAATATTTCATATGGTATTCATACTTATCACAAAAAATGACAAAATAGAAATAAAAAAAGCACGAAAAAAGTGATCAAAATTTGCTCAAAACCATATATCGAGCGAAATGTAATAAAACAAAAATCTGAGTGTAACTAACTTTTAGTAAATTTGTAGTTGCATCAATATAACAAAAATTTTGCATGATTTTGTATGATATAAATTTCTATGATATAAACTTAATGATTAATTCAGTAACATATATTTATGCTTCACATAAATGTAATTAAAAAAAATTGCACATCTTCGACTGTCACGTCTTGATAATTATGAGAACCTATTTGGGTCTTCTTGTAACGTGTGTCACGCGTTCGATACGTTTCCCACGAACGGTTCTATCGTGCCGTACGCATTCGGCGAGAAGAAGTTCCTTTTTTTCTGCCAACACCGCGTGTCTGCTCCGGTACCGTTGTCGATGGACACCGCGAGGCATTCGTGATTCTCCGATTATCACGGTAATTCGGAATGTTTGCGGCGACTTTCATGTCACGTAAGCGCTTTCGCGGAACGGTGAGTAAATTAATATAAATAAGGCGAGATTAGGAAGGAGATCAAAAGAGGACGGTCGTGGCGGCGACTTTATTCCACGACGACGAGACTTCCGTGTCGCAGTATGCTAAACCACGTAGCGAGGGGAGAGGAAGAGAAAGACCGACCGCGACCCATTCGGGAATGCGAATGACTGTATTACAATAATAAATTGATCCACGTGACGCTAGATATTGCGTTTTATATGGTCATAACGCGTGTCTGTCGCAATAGTAAAAGTCACGCGTGATAAAGTGAGCTGATTTATGGCACTTAACGCCGCGAATGCAATCGGGGTGGACATCTCAATTATCACGTCCGATTTCGTGCAGCATATTGTTAACCCCGTGTATTCTCGGAGAGGTCCATTTCGTGCAAAGTTCATTCTTCTTTTCTTCTTTGCTAAGTTCACCTGATTAAACTATCGAGATCCGAGTGGTATTCATAAAAGCGTCGACCGACGCGCGCGATATACGGTACGTTATTTTGTATGAGCGGCAGACAGGTAGAAGAAAGGGCTAACGACCGTCGAAACGAAGCGAAAAGGCGGCAGGCGCTATCAAACATCGTCTGATTTTTATAAGGCTCCGCTTCCCGATTTCATCAGAACGCCGTTAATGAGCCCATGAGTAATCGACGCGATCACGAAAGCTGTTCGTCTTTTCGTTGTGCCGCGTCAGATCGGGAGAGGGACGAACCGAGAACGATTGGATCTATACATCGCGTAATAAGGAACCTTTAGAGAAGGCTATTAATAATTATGATATTATACACAAATATATACGCATACTGAGCAACGTGTATCTTTATAACGCGCACGATCGCCCCGAACGAAGAATTCGATTGAACTCGACCGACTCCTGTTTCGCTCCGTGTCGCGAAATATCAGCTGCTCATTATTTTCCGATAGGAGAGCATTTAAATTTGCATAGTATTGATTTTTACAGTTGTGCTATCATCGTACGATGACAGAGAGATTACTGTATTAGAATATAAATTTAAAATCCTATTGCGAGTCTATGTGATCTACGATTGGACGAGGTGTAGGGAGGGACAAGGGTTGGTCGGTACCAAGCGTATAGCGCGCGCGTGTTTTCCTAAGAGAGAAAGAGAGGGAATGAGAAAGGGGAAGAGGGGGAGGAGAGAGCGCTCGGTTTAATATCGTTTATAAATTATTCCACGGAGATAGCCATCAGCATACAAATTGGTTCACCCAGGACCCCAGGGCTTCCTGTAGAGAGTGCCTGGTACCTTGTCTAGCTTCTCACCCGAGCTGCTTTTTCGTGAAAGTGACAAGGAAATACTAGGAAAATTTTTACGAATACGTCATTTCCCCAATTGTCTCGTGGCCAGTTGAATGTATTAATGAATTTTTATGTTTGCACGATCAGATTAATTCTCTGCCTTCATATTGAATCGCATCTTCAAAAATTCTGTTGGTTGTATTTAAAAATTTGAACTAGGAAGA